CCCCGGGATTTCCCTCATAATATAAAAACAGTTTGGATTAAAAACAAACGTCATCATTTTGAAAATATTTTTATCCTGAAAAATCGTTTTCCCCTGACTGGTTTCTCATTTAAAGGGATTATCAACGAAAAGTCAGACCAAACTTCTAAAATAAACTCTCTTCAAATGCAGCTATGGATCCTGCTAAATCTGGTTTAAAGGGACTGTCAGTTTTAATTTCAAGTGACCCTCCATGTGAAGATGTCAATGCCCAAGGTACTAATGCAAGGAAAGTTAATTGCAGTTGCGTATACTCTGCGTACATATTGAAACCAGTTCTCTCTGGGTGGTGTTTGTAAACAAGAATAGATGCATCAGTGTTCGTCTAATATCCGAGGAGGTTAAAAGCATTAAATTTTGATAATTTTGAAAATTCACATAATAGTTTCCAATGACCAGAATATTATAGATTATTTTAGTGAAAATTGATTCCATGTCAGGCTGTGCCATCCGTCTTGTGTTTACTTTTCCGCCCAAAAACAGTACACTGCAGTACAAAAGATGTGTACACCTCTGAAATAACTTTCCTTGCATTAGTACCTTGGCAATGCCCGTTTAATAACGGCACCTTTAAAACATTTATCTAATCTTTTTAATAAGAGATTGTTTTGTCCCCAGGACATGATTGGGTTGTTATGATCAAATCTCGGAATTTTTTCTATTGCGAAAGTTTGGTTTTGTCTGGGTTTTATACTGATCTACCAGGGGTTGTAATCTGGCAGCACATTCATCCATCCACGCTTTATTCATCCTGAGAAGAGGGTTGACAAGATTCCAGCTGCCTAAGATTCTTCTTAGGCCTGAGAATATAGAGTGCAGGAATCCTTCTGATATACTGGAATGAGGCCCGGGTGCCATACTGATAGGAAACATCACACTCATTGCTCCCTAACATCTGTAAGCCCGGATTGGATACCCCCTGGTACCTATAGCTGGCAACCATAGACTCTCCCTGCTTGTCCGCCATTCCTCTCTTAATCATCATTCACTTGGATCAATCCCACTTAAAGTTTCTTTCTTGTTCAGTAGAAAGCACGCGCCCTTTCGCTGTGAGAGTTGTTGACAGCCGCCCCTCTGTCCTCCTACATCCGTCAGGTGGTTATAACTGCTTAACCAGATGTCGGCTTCAGATGTTTTTGAAACCACTGGTTTGTGTGGAGTAAAAGAACCTTTATCTGATCAATAACGGGAAAAATCTTGTCGTTTTTTCTAGGTTTAAAGGTATTTAGTTCTGATGATTCCAAAGTGTTTTCCTGCAGTAGAAATGCGCAAGTCAATTTTGTAAAGAACCCACAATTGAAATAAACAGTTTTCTAGATGAAAATGAAAATTTATATCTAATTCATACTTGACCAGACAATACTTTTAAGGATACGGTTGTGAATCGGACATTGCCATTTTTACAATAATGTTAACTTGAAATTACGCTTTTTTAGGGATTTAAAGATCAAAATCAGACTTTTTCTGTCAATACTAGTTCATCAACGGACAACATTAAAATAGCTTAAATTTTGAAAATGAATGGGTGACAATGAATGTATGAAAACTAAATTTTAAGAAACTTGAGTTTTTTCAAAATTTGTATCTGAAAAAATATAGAACTTAAAACTCATTCAACTCAATCAATGATTGCTAAATCTTTTCTTATTCATTTCTTTTTCATTTTTGTTTTTAGAAAACAAAATAAACTTTGTCGATGAAGAAATAAAATAATATGTTTTATAATCTTTATAAAACACTCCGGGGGGTATTCAGGCTAAGCCCCCCCTGGACCAGTGAAATCTATTGATTTCAGGGGGTTTTCAGGCCCCAATGGGTGCTGAGCCACCTGGAAAGATAAAAAAATTCAAGCCCCCTTTTTGGACAAATTCCTGAATACGCCCCTGAGAACACTAGCTTGGGAACCCAGCGATGCACAGAGTCATGTTACGCGCACTTAGACAATTTTTAATGGGCATCTAAATTTTTGCGTCTAACTTTGAATTTCAAAACCAAGCTTAGAACAATGGCTCTCCCGAGTTCCTGAGTTATGATCGGACAAACAAACAGACAGACAAATTGGGAAATTGCCCATTTGAGAAGTTGCCATTTGGGAAAATGCCCTTGGGAAGTTGCCATTCAGAAAAAATCCTTTGGGAAAGTACTATACATCTTTTCAAGTAACCATCCTTTTTTAGAGTTTCCGGTTTACAACCCTCACACTTGAATGCGATTCCATTAGCGCCTGGTCCAATTAGGGTTCAGTCATCTGTTTGCTGTTTATTCTCAACCAACAGAAATTGCATGGCAGTATCATCTATCTTTCTATCTATCTCATTACCTAATTAGAGATGAATCCCTGTAGTGCCCTTTAAACTTTTGACTCTTCAAGGATCTGGGATTTTTAAGATACTAAGACATAGCGACCAAAAGGTGTTTGCAGTCTCAAATGTTACTACTTATGTGTTGTTTTATGGCCTAAAATGATTGAGGAGGGAAAGAGTTTACTTTAAGGATTTTAAGTTTATGTAACAAGCAAAAAAAAAATTTTACCACGGTGTTTGACAAATTTTTTGTTTTCTCATTCTATAATTTTTATTCAATTAGTAGGAATTATCTAAAAAATATCTAAACAGAAGTCTTTTGCACTTTTTTTATCTTTAAAAAAGAAATTACTTCGTTTAAATCGTTTTATAAAAGAAAAATGAAATTAAAAATCTGTATCTTTTGTACGGCATATAATAAATGTTTTTCTTATCTGAACATTGCAGATTAGAAATTTATAAACAAAGATGAAAATAATAAAAATCAATAAAAGTTTCTTCTGAACTATTATTTATTAGAATTTGACATATATTTTGTTCCTCTATTTACTCAAGTTTCAGGAGGAATTTTGAAACAAAAATATTGAAAAGTAAAATGGAAGATTAACATATTTAGAAGGTTTCACTAAAATATCACAGAAATAAGTTTCAATTCCCCTTCATCCTTTATTCTTCTACTCAACCCCCTTCATCCTTCATTTTCCTACTCCATCCCCTTCATCCTTTATTCTTCTACTCCATCCCCCTTCATCCTTCATTCTCTTACTCCATCCCCTTTTATCCTTCATTCTCCTACTTCATTCCCCTTCACCCTTCATTTTCCTACTCCATCCCCTTCATCCTTAATTCTTCTACTCCTCCTCCCTTCATCCTTTATTCTCCTACTCCATCCCCTTCATCATTCATTCTCCTACATCATCCCCCTTCATCCTTTTTTCTTCGACTCCATCCCCCTTCATCCTTCATAATCTTTCTCCATCCCCTTTTATCCTTCATTTTCCTACTTCATTCCCCTTCATCATTCATTCTCCTAAATCTTCCCCCTTCATCCTTTATTTCTCCTCTATTAATCTCCACCCTTCTACTTCAATCAAACCCTCTTCTACTCCATCCAACACTCTTCTACTTCATCCAACACTCTTCTACTACATTCCCCTCTCTTCTACTCCATCAAACACTCTTCTACTTCAATCCAACACTCTTCTACTCCATCCAACACTCTTCTACTTCATCCAACACTCTTCTACTACATTCCCCTCTCTTCTACTCCATCAAACACTCTTCTACTACATTCTCCTCTCTTCTACTCCATCAAACACTCTTCTACTACATTCCCCTCTCTTCTACTCCATCAAACACTCTTCTACTCCATCCCCATTCATCTACTACATCCTCCACTCTGCTGTTCCATTCCCCACTCTGCTACTCCATCCAACAATCATCTACTCCATCCCCCACTCTGCAACGCCATCCCCCACTATTTTACTCCATCCAACACTCTTTTACTCCATCCCCCACTCTTTTACTCCATCCCCCACTCTTCTACTCCATCCAGCACTCTTCTACTCCATCCAACACTCTTTTACTCCATCCCCCACTCTTCTACTCCATCCCCCACTCTTCTACTCCATCCAACACTCTTTTACTCCATCCCCCACTCTTCTACTCCATCCCCCACTCTTCTACTCCATCCAACACTCTTTTACTCCATCCCCCACTCTTCTACTCCATCCCCCACTCTTCTACTCCATCCAACACTCTTCTACTCCATCCACCACTCTTCTACTCCATCCAACACTCATCTACTCCATCCACCACTCTTCTACTCCATCCACCACTCTTCTACTCCATCCAACACTCATCTACTCCATCCACCACTCTTCTACTCCATCCACCACTCTTCTACTCCATCCAACACTCATCTACTCCATCCACCACTCTTCTACTCCATTCAACACTCTTCTACTCCATCCAACACTCTTCTTCTCCATCCAACACTTATCTACTCCATTCACCACTCTTCTCCTATATCCAACACTCTTCTAATCCATCCAACACTCTTCTTCTCCATCCAACACTCTCCTTCTCCATCCAACACTTATCTACTCCATTCACCACTCTTCTCCTATATCCAACACTCTTCTAATCCATCCAACACTTGTCTACTCTATCCTAAACTGCTCTACTTCATCCTCCAATTTTTTTTGGTTCTCCATTCTTCTATTTCTTTATCTACTTTTTTACTTCATCCTCCATTCTTCTAATCCATCCTCCATTCTTCTAATCCATCCTCCATTCTCCTATTCAATTCAAATCCTCCATCCTTCTTTCTTCTCCTCCATTTTCCCCTTTTCATTATCCATTCCCTTCATCCTCAAATCTCTTCAACTTCCACTCTCTTCTATTTCTTTCTTTCCTCCCCCCACCCCCCCTCCTCCCTCTTCTATTTACATTCCTCAATACAAAGTTTGATGAAGGAAAAATATGAAAGAAGAAGTTCTACATGGGCTGGAGGAGAGAGGGGAGAGAGAGAAATGTCTGAATAATGATTCCAATCCTAACATGAGGGGAGAAAACCATCCCTTAGCTCTCCCTCCTCTCTCTCTCCGTGTCTCTTTCACCCTAAACCTCGCAGATTTAAACCCTCCGTCCACCAATCCTCCCCCTCACTTCCCCGGAGTCATCGGAGAGTTCAGTCCTGTCTCTGGCTCCGTACTAGAAATATACTACAGGTCGGTATACTCTGAAACCTGAACCTAGAGTTAAAAATTCATTTCAAACCTATGACACTGTGATTTATACATATATACTTCTTCTTTTCCTTTTTCAATCCTTTTAGTCTTCTCATTTCTAACTGTTATCACGTTCTCCTCTTTCTTCACCTTTCTTTTTATATAAAATTATTTAACTAAATATCTAGGGTTAATGGCCATGTAAGCGTAATTTCAAGTGACCTTCCATACAAAAATAGCAATGCACGATTCACAGCGGTACCCGTTTCTTTCATCTGATCAATAATGTGAAAATGCACAAGTCACTTTTGTAGAGAAAACATAATTAAAATTAAGTTTTCAAAATTAAAAACATTGATATTTAGTCATACTGAAGGATACAGCTGTGAATCTGACATACTGAAGGATACAGCTGTATATCTGACATTGTCTTGCATGGAAAGTCCTTGAAAATACGCTTACAGTCCCTTTGATGTCAACCCTGTAAAGTGTTGTATAAATGAATTTAAATGAAGTGTGAAAGTTTCTCTGAGTTGTCAACACATTGCTAGCTGCAATTCATCCCACCCGGTTCATTAGTGTAAATATATACAAATAATTCATCCCACCCGGTTCATTAGTGTAAATATATACAAATAATTCATCCCACCCGGTTCAGCAGTGTAAATATATACAAATAATTCATCCCACCCGGTTCATTAGTGTAAATATATACAAATAATTCATCCCACCCGTTTCATCAGTGCAAATATATACAGAATTCATCTTACCCGGTTCTTTAGAGTGCAAATATGTACAGAAGTTATTTCACCCGCGGTTCATCAGTGGAAATATAAATGCAGAATTCATCCCACCTGGTTCATTAGTGCAAATATATACACAGAATTTATCTCACCCGGTTCATCAATGCAAATATATACAGAATGTATCTCACCCGGTTCATTAGTGCAAATATATAGACAGAATTTATCTCACCCGTTTCATCATTGCAAATATATGCAGAATTCATCTCACCTGGTTCATTAGTGCAAACATATATATATAATTTATCTCACCCGGTTCATCAGTGCAAATATATTCAAATGCAAATATATACAGAATTCATCTTACCCGGTTTATCAGTTTTTTGTCACAAACTCAAATTTGTCTAATCTCTATATCACTGCAACCGGATGGTGTAAACCTCTGATATTTTAAACTTGGAATATTTGATCTAATAGAATTCATAGTTTTAAACATCAAAGGTCCACGACTTCGGGTTTCAAAGATATAGGAATATGAACATTTGCGTTTGTGGCAAATACTCCGTTCCATTGTTCAAAAGTTCAAAATTTAAAAGTGGAAAACTGACAACTGAAATGCATTAAAAAAATGCAGATTTTTGGAGATGTCGTCTTCTATCCGATAGTAGGAAAATCGAGCAAAACTAAACAGAAAAAATGAGATATTTTTCCAAAATGTTGAAAGGATTTCTTTTTATTCTGAATATACGCAAGCCTAAAAGTTGTCGAAATTCTAAACTGAAATGGTTTAAATTATAGAATAAATCTATTTCCTATTTCTCTGAATCCCATTTGCAGGATTGGTATTAAATGTATTCTCTAGGTACTCTCCAGGACACAAACATTATCACAGCGTAGACTAAACTAGAAACTTTTATTCTAAATCTGTACACCTGAACACTTGAACATCTGTTTATTATTCACAGTTTTGACCATGACCTAGATACAACACTAATTTGTTTTGTTTTTTTACTGAAAGGGGGAGTTCACGAACTTTCACAGAGGAGTATGTCACAAATAACACAAATTTGGTTACTTTAGCAAATTTTTTTGTAAACTAAAACTTAGCATTAATTTGTTCGTATCAATTATTCCTTGAGCATACAATTCTCATGGCTTAGATATTATTTAATAAAAAAACAAATAAAAAAAAAGTTTATATTACTCTGAAATAAAACTAAAAATTTTAATCATTTTTTATCTTTGAAAATGCATCAATTTATTCGAAAAAATCCACGAAAACTTAAAAGCTAAAACAGTTCAACGGAAACCCTTGGATTAAAAAATTTTCCATTTAAAAGTTTTGGACTTTAACTTTGTCTACACATCAATACCAATTAGCAAGTTTTTTTTCATCAGTTTTTTTTGTTCAAATGCATTTCCTTCGATTAAAGTTACATGTCTGATTTATTTTTGCGCTTGAATTTTCCTAACTGTAAGAATTAGACTTAATTTACTAAATCTAGAATCAAGATGTTGAGATTGCAATCCTCTACATTTTAATACTGGAAATCACAGAGCTAAACCCAGTTTGTAATTTTACAATGGTAAATTAACTCTGGCAAACGATCCAAAATCCACGTTATCTTATCCTGTATTCTGTATCAATCTTTACGCTGTATCTTGTATCAATCTATACTCTGTATCCTGTATTAAGCTTTACTCTGTATCTTGTATCAATTTGTTCTCCATATGATGCATTTTATTTTCTGTATTCTGGATTCATAGTACATGTATTCTTTATTCTGAATTATTTTTTCTACATTCTATGTTATGTTTTCTGTATTCTGTATTCAATATTCTGTATTCTGTATTCTGTATTCTGTATTCTGTGTTCTGTATTCTGTATTCTGTATTCTGTATTCGGTATTCGGTATTCTGTATTCTGTATTCTGTATTCTGTATTCTATGTTCTGTATTCTGTATTCCATATTCTGTATTCTGTATTCTGTATTTGTATTCTGTTATATTTATTCTGCATAAATACTTTTTTGTCTTTATCCTCAAACCCTCGCAGCCTGAAGTTTTAAAGTTTTTATCATGTTTCCCTTGATGCTGTATCTCCATATACAACCCTTAAATATCCTGTCCCGTCATCTTTTAGTCCTGTAAAACTTTTATCTTCTTTCCTTTCAATAAATTTTGATGAAACCCCTTTTCTTTCCTGGCTTATCCTATACCTGGAGCCATCAAATCCTAAACTAATCCAACCCTTGAAAGAAAATCAATATTTCAGGAATGATGATTACTTGAGAGAGGAGCAGGACGGATACCTAGGATGGAGGAGGATGAAACAGATCCGACCGCATCCACGGTCCTTCAGATCAAGTTCGTGGCCTACTCCGTTGTCGCGTACATCATAGTTGGAGTTGGGTTGGTCGGAAACCTGCTGAACCTTGTAGTATTAACCCGACCCAACCTGAAGGGTGTGATGTATGTATACCTGCTAGGGCTGGCCGTATCCAACCTATGCGTTCTACTCTCAGCGGTTCCAGCACTCTTTGATATCTCTGTAGGGTTGGAGGACGGATACTACTCCACTGCCTTCTACCAGGCGCATCTTAAGCTGCCGTTGATTAATTCCTTCATGGCCAGCTCGGTTTATATCATCATCTGTATGACAGTAAACCGATATATCTCCATCTATAAACCAACCCAGTTCCAGAGGATTCACACACACAAGAACGCTAGAATCTCAATCTTCTCTTCATTCCTCGGAGGAATCCTGGTTCATGTCCCGCTCTGCTTCCAGAACACTGTGCGTCCCGTCTGCTCTGATATGAACGAGAACACTACGATCTCCAGTAACTCTACCTGCACCTGGAGATCAGATGAGAACTTCGAGGTTACAGAGAACATAATCTTCAAGGTATACTTGGTTACAAGTGAGATCATTCTTAGGATCGGACCAATCATTGCGCTCGCAATACTCAACGCTCTCATCATTCATAAGTTTCTCAAGATTGCGAAGAAGCGTCAAGTATTAAAGGGAGGATACCAAAAACCTGAGATGTCTCATCATATCTCCTCGGCTCCATCCTCTCCTCAACCATCCAGAAACACTAGTAGCACCACACAGACCAGTTCAGCTAGCTCTGCTCCTAGCTGCTCCAGTGGACCTAGGCTAGTAGTACCTGGAGCTAACCCTAGTAGATCTCCGTCTCCTGAACCTAGCTCCTGTACTCCAGATTGTACTCCAGCTACAACTCCACAGAAGAGAACTGTAAGACGGAAACCTAAGTCTCTTCACAATGCCGAGGAACGAATGCTGGTGGTGGTTCTCATCTCCATCGTGGTTCTTTTCGTCTGCTGTACAACCCCCGCAGCTGTTCTATCCGTTCTTTTCACGGAGAAGTTTGATAAACATCTTGGGTTTCAAATCTTCAGAGCCGTTGCCAACATTTTGGAACTTCTTAATTTTGCTCTCAACTTTTATATTTATTGTCTGTGCAGCGCAGAGATAAGGAGAGCATTCGTCTCAGTGTTTCGAGATATTCTAGGACTCTTTTCTTTTAAATGCTGCTCCAAGAAAGCTACTATAACAGTAAACATTGAGCACGTTTAGTTTATCTCCAACGTAGATTGAGAATGGAAAGAAAAAGTTTTAAAGAGTTTCCTTTAGAAGAATCAAAAAACTCTTTTTAAGATTTTGTATTTAAGTAAAAAAATCAAACATTTTAAACATTTTTTCTTAACGATAGATGCAGTTTTTTTCAATTACGTTTCATATTACCGAGTTGCACTTTGTCTGAAACGAGAGACTAAAAATTAGCAGAAAATTAGCAACTATTTAATGATGCAACAAAATATTTCAACTTTCTTCCAACAAACTTACTACAATACTTTTGCAGAAATACATCACGTGTATACATATCTCTACTTTTCATGATAGGAATTGTATTTGTGAGTTCAAGTAACTCTCTCTATCATAAGATGACAATGCTCGATTCACAACGGGAACCCTAGAAACCTGTATCTAATCAAGAAGATATTTTCGTTTTTCTCATTTTAATTCTGATGAAGCCTGTATGTATACTGATGTAAATCGGACATATAGCCGTCTCTGTGTGGAGGGTCAATTAAATATACGCTTACAGTCCCTTTTCATCAACTAAATATTCTCCGACTTATCGTTTCTAAAATGGAATTAACTTCATTTATTTGGTTAATAGAGTTCATAGTTGAAAACATCGAAAGTTCTACGACACCTTGAAGCAAAAAATTTTGAGCTAAGAAAAATTGAAGTTTATTTGTGAAAATTATTTAAACAAAGATTATGATAAAATCGATTTTTTATTTTTTTCTGATTACCATTTTTAATTGCAGTATTCTAATCAGGCACCAACAAGTGTCATGTCAAGTTCACGAAAAAAAATATTTCGGTTAGCCGTCATATTGAGACACAGGGTGAAAATACGTATATAGATGTCATACATCAAGTATTTGACCTTGATTTAAATTGTATATTTTAGTTTTTATGAGTTTTTATGAGGCCCATTTATCTTTTTCAATTATTTTGTTAAGATGTTTTCTTTCAGTTTATTACTTCTGTATTGTTTGTCCCGATTCCTGATCACTCTCCTCATACTCTGTTTTTCCAATCCTCTTTTCTTTGCAACCTGATGGTTTAGACCCTTTAAAACTATGAATTCTTCTAGAATACTATTTTCTAAAAAATAAAATATCAAAAATAAAATGAGTGTAGATATCAAATTTTATTATTTCCGGCCTAATTAGCAATTATTACTTTTTGTGGGAAATCTACATTCTACATATTATTATTATTATTATTTCTTAGCGACTTACAAAAAAACGATCAATCTTTAGGCATGGTTCAGTAATTACCAAAACATGATAATATGTAATGATGGAACCATTGCTTTCCTGCTCTCTATAATACTTTAGAGTACACTACACTTGTAGGCGATTATATCAATACAATGAAGACGACTTTTCAATTTTAATTTATATCAAGCTGTTAAACAGCATGGATACATATAAACATAGAAATCAAGAAAAGCTGTCAATNATCTATAGGTTGAATTCTAGGTCTAGGAATACTAGATCTATAGGTTGAATTCTAGGTCTAGGAATACTAGAACTATAGGTTGAATTCTAGGTCTAGGAATACTAGATCTATAGGTTGAATTCTAGGTTTAGAAATATTGATCTATAGGTTGAATTCTAGGTCTAAGATACTAGATCTATAGGTTGAATTCTAGGTCTAGGATACTAGATCTATAGGTAGAATTCTAGGTCTAGGAATACTAGAACTATAGGTTGAATTCTAGGTCTAGGAATACTAGAACTATAGGTTGAATTCTAGGTCTAGAAATACTAGATCTATAGGTAGAATTCTAGGTCTAGAAATACTAGATCTATAGGTTGAATTCTAGGTTTAGGAATATTGATCTATAGGTTAAATTCTAGGTCTAGGATACTAGATCTATAGGTTGAATTCTAGGTCTAGGAATACTAGATCTATAGGTTGAATTCTAGGTCTAGGAATACTAGATCTATAGGTTGAATTCTTGGTTTAGAAATATTGATCTATAGGTTGAATTCTAGGTCTAGGAATACTAGATCTATAGGTTGAATTTTAGGTCTAGAAATACTAGATCTATAGGTTAAATTCTAGGTCTAGAAATACTAGATCTATAGGTAGAATTCTAGGTCTAGAAATACTAGATCTATAGGTTGAATTCTAGGTCTAGAAATACTAGATCTATNCTTGGATTGCTAGAACAAGTGAAGGTGATTATTGTTGATATTACTGTAAGGTTTTCTACCAAGCTTTACACTTTTATATGTTGTTTAAGTGAAACAAGAATACTGTTCTTGGTTACTGTTGTCAGTCTTACTCCATGTGCTTGTTATAACTAGTGTAATATTGGACGAATTTGTACTTCAATCAACATCACTTATACTCCTCTCTTCATTCCGCTTCATCCTTCCTCATTCTTCCTCATTCTTCCTCATTCTTCCTCATACTTCCTCATTCTTCCTCATTCTTCCTCATTCTTCCTCATTCTTCCTCATTCTTCCTAATTCTTCCTCTTATTTTCGTATCCTTCATTTATCCTTTTATATTACTTATTCTCATTCCCACTAAATCCTATTTATTAATTCTTAACTTAAACCATCCTATCAATACAAAATTGTATTCTATTTCATCTTATCTTTTCCATTTCTTCTATTCCTTTTTCCATTGGACCTGTGATCTTTTTTCTTTTTTTTTTTACCAAGAATCGAATATCCACATATTTATGTATCCATGTATCCATGTATCCATTTAACCATATATCTATGAATTTGATGCTTTCGGATGAACATTTCTGCCATTTTATAAATTTTTACAATATCGACATTGTTACATTTTAAACTTTTTTATGAATTTTTTGAATTTGTTATAAATATGTTGTATTGTGTCCTATATAAGGATTTATACTAGTCATAAATAATCTTTTGTAACAGATGTTTGGCCCAAGGATATATAATTATCCTCTCAGATCAACTTTTTCACAAGTATTATCTTTAAACATTTGAAATCAATCAGAAATATTGCATTGGACTTTAAAAAAAAAAACAAGAAAACAATGAGGCACAAATGCATCTGTTTTATACATTCCATAGTACGTAATTCTAGTCATTATTTCTAGATGTTAGATATTTAAATAAAACATTTTACAGTAGACTTACTTATTCTATAGAACGAGAAGTGAGAACCTAGTTATATGTTAATTTAGAAAGAAGAAACAACATTAGAAAGCACAGAGACTGAGAGGTTCAGATACAAGTTGAAAGAATAATATTACTGTAACTTCTCCAGGGGGTTTAAACAATAGCGCATTGAACTTGGAGAGTGGTTTATCAAGTTTTAAAGAAGATAGAGTATAATAATCCTAGCACATCTAAAAATGGAGGGTTTGTCATATTGGATTTTGATGTATGTATAAGGTTATTATCATAATTAATATTTATTATGTCATTAGGTTGTTTTATTTCATTAGGTTGTCATGTCATTAGGTTGTCATGTCATTAGGTTGTCAATTAGGTTTGTCATGTCATTAGGTTGTCATGTCATTAGGTTGTCATTAGGTTGTCATGTCATTAGGTTGTCATGTCATTAGGTTGTAATGTCATCAGGTTGTCATGTCATTAGACTGTCATGTCTTTAGGTTGTCATGTCATTAAATTGTCATGACATTAGGTTGTCATGTCATTAGGTTATCATGTCATTAGGCTGTCATGGCATTAGGTTGTCATGTCATTAGGTTGTCATAAGGTTGTCATGTCATTAGGTTGTCATGTCATTAGGTTGTCATGTCATTAGGTTGTCATGTCAACAGGCTGTCATGGCATTAGGTTGTCATAACAACCAAATGACATGACAACCTTATGGCATGACATTAGACTGTCATGTCATTGGTTTGTCTTGTCATTAGTTTGTCATGTCATTTGGTTGTCATATCATTAGGTTTTCATGTCATTTGGTTGTCATGTCATTAGGTTGTAATGCCATTAGGTTGTCATGTCATTAGGTTGTCATGCCATTAGGTTGTCATGTCATTAGGTTGTCATGTCATTAGGTTGTCATGACATTAGGTTGTCATGTCATTAGATCGTCATGTCATTAGGTTGTAATGTCATTAGGTTGTCATGTAAATAGGTTGTCATCGCATGACATTAGGCTCTCATGTCATTAGGTTGTCATGTCATTAGGTTTTCATGTCATTAGGTTGTAATGTCATTAGTATGTCATGTCATTAGGTTATCATGTCATTAGGTTTTCATGTCATTATGTTGTCATGTCATTAGGTTGTAATGCCATTAGGTAGTCATGTCATTAGGTTGTCATGTCATTAGGTAGTCATGTCATTAGGTTGTCATGACATTAGGTTGTCATGTCATTTGGTTTTCATGTCATTAGATTGTCATGACATTATGTCCTCATGACATTAGTTTGTAATGTCGGTAGGTTGTCAAGTAATTAGGTTGTCATCTCATTAGGTTGCTATGTCACTAGGTTGTCATGTCTTATGGTTGTCATGACATTAGGTTGCCATGTCATTAGATCGTCATGTCATTAGGTTGTAATGTCATTAGGTTGTAATGTCAGTAGGTTGTCATGTCATTAGGTTGTCATGACGACCTAATGACATGACAACCTTATGACATGACATTAGGCTGTCATGTCATTAGGTTGTCATGTCATTAGGTTTTCATGTCATTAGGTTTTCATGTCAATAGGTTTTCATGTCATTAAATTGTCATGACATTAGGTTGTCATGTCATTAGGTTTTCATGTCATTAGGCTAACATGTCATTAGGTTGTCATGTCATTAGGTTGTCATTAGGTTGTCATGTCATTAGGTTGTCATGTCATTAGGTTGTCATGTCAACAGGCTGTCATGGCATTAGGTTGTCATGACAACCTAATGACATGACAACCTTATGACATGACATTAGACTGTCATGTCATTAGTTTGTCATGTCATTAGTTTGTCATGTCATTAGTTTGTCATGTCATTTGGTTGTCATGTCATTAGGTTCTCATGTCATTATGTTGTCATGTC